TCTTTGTCCAATTTGGTTAAGTTTAAAATTATGACATGATCCTTGCTGACAGAATAATTCATAGCTGATAAACTTATTTCTAGTCATCAAAGAGGCTTCTCAAGGATAGGAACATTCTTATTGTAGAGTACTTTTCCCAAGGGATTAATTTGCTTAGGAAAAGACATATGCGGTAATAATGGATATCGAAACTTTTGTAATCTTTTAGTGGGATATTCACTCTTCCAGTTTTGCATCAAGTTTGGCTTCTGTCCTCAGCTATGTCTATGGGTCAAGTGGTGCTGAAATCTGCCAAGATTTTTATTTCTGTCAATCACAAAGCTGTTGGTTTCTTTCCAGTTCTGAAGAAGTTGGACAAGGGTATATATTATCCCCAATTCTCTTGTCTTGCAAAAGAAGTTTTAAGTCGTGCCATTACTCTTTTGTCTCCACAGAAAATTCTTCTCCCTATGATAAGACCTTATGGTATGTGGTTTTCCAGTCACATTATATGTAATGATGCTACCATTTTTCTAGGTTAACCAAGCTAAACTTGCAGCAGTTGTGCAATGATAGAGGACTATCCATTGAGTCCATACAAGAACTTGAAGAGGAGCCTTTGGCATTAAAAGGACATGAAGGCATAAAGATCATGCCCTGGAGCACGATTATAGAATAGTTTTAGACAAATAAAAGTATTTGTAAATTTCTTTTATTTTTTTCAGTTTATTTTGTTTTTGGGCTTGGGCTTTCTTTTAGGGTTTCTAGGTTTTCTTAAACTTATGTGCCTATATATAGAGATACCAAAAATTGATGTAAAGACTTTTAATCATATATTAAATTTTATTTCATTAAAGAGAGATTGTCTTTGTTCTTGACTTAGACCTCATATTCTAATCAAAGGTTGATATCTTTGTGATTAATCTTCCTTGACTTATCAGTTTTATTGATTGAGGTATCTCTATTATTGGTTCTCATCAAAGAGTAACTTTTTGTGGTAAATCTTTACTTACCAATCTACTAGATTGTGGGTTATATCATTCATGTTTATATTTCTGAAGAAATTCAAAGTCAAAAATTATCGTAATTTTTCCTAGATAGGATTGTATCATGCACCTTTTCCAATCTTATAAAGATAATGCTGATCAGGAAGTCAACATTACTTTTAATATTTTCGGTGACACATTCTAGGAAGAAAGTTGTGGTTGATACTCCTTGGTTTCTCCAGAAAATTCATTGGCTTTAATAATTTGGTATTACTATTTTTGTGGTAAACCTCTCCTAGAATTCATTTTGCAAGTTTGCTTAGAAATAGGAAAGCTTCATGCTTGGAAAGGCTTTTTGCTGTCATATAGGGGCAGGATAATTCTCATATCTTCCGTTATCAACAACTTTTTGCACTACTTTAGAGTTTACTCGTGGCCCAAGGGTTGATTAAAACCATGGAATTCTGGATGAGAAACTTTATGTGGACTAGCAATGTTACAATGTTAAGTTGGTCACTGTTTATTGGAAGCAATCTTGTCGGTCTATCAAGGAGGTTTGGGCGTAAAACCTTGTATGGCTCTTAATCACTCCTTTGATGAAACATAGCAATGGATTTTTCTTGATTTTGACTCGAATTGGGGCCAGAATTCTTAAGTTGAGAGTTGTGATTTTCACCGTCAATCATCTGGTTTGGATGTATTAAGCACAGTGTTCTTTGATTATTCATAACTCCACTTGGCAGATTGGTAATGGCAAGGGTTAACTATTCCAATAGTTGATTGGCTTGGGATTCGTAAGCATTTACACAACAATTTGGAGGCTAAGGATGCACCCTTTAATATCAAATATATCCTGGGTCTATACCTGATGCTATTAGTTTCTAAATCCCGCTCTCACTGTTGCAATCTCCCTTTTATTTGACATCAGTTTGATATCGAGGACCATCTTAGATGAAATGGGCTTCTTCAGATGGTATCTCAGCTTCAAAACTGAATATAATTTCCTTTTTGAATCAGCCAACTTCTCTAAATGTTTTCAACACGGGTTTGGAGCAAATTTAATCCTCCTTCTATCTCTTCTTGCTTGGCATATTTAACATAATAGACTGCCTATAGATGATAACTTAATCAGCGTGGTATGGACAGTGTTTCTTGTTGTCATTTTTGTGGTGGTGCTGCTGAAACTGATCGACACGTGTTTTGAGTGCACATTTTGCTTCACATCTATGGCCTGGCTTACCAGCTCTTTCCACTGTCACTTTGCTACTGATTTTCATCTCTTCCGTCTTTGTTTCTTTCAAAGATGCTTGAGTGTTCGAGTAAAGACTGTAATGCAGGCCTCTCTCGTTGGTGTGATGAAAGCTATATGGATAGCATCCTATGTATGTTCATAATGCCTTATTTCCATTGGTGATGGGTGTGATTTTGGCTATGGAAGTTGCCACTCTAAAGGCTGAACTAAATTTTTTATTTGAGTGTGATTCTCAACTAGTGATTCAAAATATGTTCCAATAATTCTATTATTCTTTGGGGTATCCGTAGTAGATAGTTGAACTGTTTAGTAAATATTAATATTATGTGTATTCCATGTTTCACACATTTTAGGGAGGATAATCAATGTGTTGATACACATGTTGAGTTTCAACTAGATCTCAGGGTGTTACTTGGTAAGGAGAATGTTTCCTAGTTTCATTAGTTCAAAGTTTTTCCAGGAATAGATTTTTTTGTTGTTAGTCTACAATAACTAGTGATAAGCCAATTTAGAATATATATAAGTGGGTGCAAACTTCACCTTACAAGTTGATTTTGTAGGGTTGAGTTAAGCTTAAAATCCACTTCTTAACATAGTATCAGAGTCATGGTTTAGAGCCTATCCTAGGAAAATTTGTTGTTTGTTGGACATATTATTCCATCCGCTATCGGCCACTATCGAACTACCCATTAATGTCTAGTCCCATGCATGATATGTATATACCTTGACATAAAGGGATGTATTGGAAGTCTCACATTGATGAATAATAAGACCAGTTTAAAGTATATAAGTAGGTGCAAATCTCACCCTACAAACTGGTTTTGTGGAGTTGAGTTAGACTTAAGATCTACTTTTTAAAATATTTTATTTACCTTTATACAGGGTTAGGGATTAGTTGTGGGTCAGATGTGGTCTCCTCACTCATTTCCACCTTTTCCTCTTTTTTATGATATTTTGAGATGTTTCATAGGATTGATATTGCTTGTGGTGCCAACATAGTTCGTATGACAAGCAACATAGTGATGCCTTAGCATTCAATTCTATTAAAATAAATAAATAAAAACAGTATACTTTTACTTGATACTTGAGTGCAAAATTTTATATTAATAACAACTCAAAGTTTAACTCCAAATTAAATATTAAATTTTAGAATTTATGTGAAAGGAATTCCTGGACTAGTCGGAAATTACCAGAATATTCCACTTTAATGGATGTTCCGAATATATATTATAAGATAGCAAGAAACTAATGTAGATTGAAGAATAAACAGTTCTGTAGGGTAAGAAAACAAATAGAAATGTTGAAAGGATCAGCAACAAAACAGGTTCCGAAGGATGGTACTGCTCTGGTGGTGTACTTGGTTGAGAAGAGAGAAACTAAGAATGTAATGAATTAGGAGTGTTGGGTACACAATAATATTCTTATTCATAATAAAAAAAAAGATAACTATAAGAAACAAAATACCTAATAAAACGAAATATATGATAAGATATTTCCCAATCAAATCATATCATATCATATCTATAATAATCAAATCATATCATATCATATCCATAATAATCAAATCATACCTCTAACAAGCAGTATTTGTCAGGGAAAAAAGGAAACTAGAGACTAAAGCTTATGTGACACAAATAAATGATAATATACTTGTTTTGCAGCGGCAAGATTGACATCTAGAATAGCTTGTTGTTGTGAATTTCAGACCAAGCATCCCATGTCCTCATTGGGTTTACATCAATAGAACTCATGCCTCAGTTGTTCAAGATTAGGAGAGCCCCTTGGAATGGAACCCTATAAGTGATCAACACAAAGAAACTTTCAACTTAAGAATTTTAATACCGTGTCCAGGACAGATCAATTGACATTTTAAACAAAAATATCAGGGGGACAGGAGACTACTATTTACAGTTTGCCTTTTTTCTACAATTTTTAACAATATTCTGATTTTTAATCACACTAAACAATTAGGTATCTTACGAAAACTTAACTATTTGATTTCAGGAGAGGAAAATATGATTAAGAGTTTGCTTAATTTAATAAAGTATTTGCATTGAAAAACTCAATTATGATTTATCCCAAATAACCAAGAACTACATGATTAAAAAAGTAAATGATTTCTGCCATTATCTACCTTCCTACAAAATTTTACATCATGCTACGGTGGTTTACATTTAAGCAGTCTATTGGAATTAGAGTTTAGGAAGCAAGTAAAACAAGACAGCCATCGAATAATCTGAGATTGATATTACGTTGTAGTGTTGCATCATGAAACAAAAGTTCTATTCCAACATTTCCTATTTATACTGAATAATAATTTAAGTACTAGTATTACTAATTACTATCATATATTCCTATTTATACTGAAATAAATAATAATTTAAGTACTAGTATAACAAATTATTACTATCATAATACAAATCTCCAATACATTTAGGACTAAAACCACCTAAATAAATTCTGGAACAAAAAGTGATGACTAACTATTGCCTCCTCAATTAGAACACTAACCGATTCCATGAAATGCTCTAAGATCTTTTAAGATATTCTCAAACACGGAAAGATAAGGATATTATAACACAATCTAAAAAAGTAACAATAAAGAAAAGGATAATAAATACTAAAAGTTATCAACAAAAGTAACAACATATCACCTTTTGCTGAGTATATTGCCTATCTCTCCTTCAATGTTGAATTCATCAAACAACGGAATTTTTTTATCATATAATTCAACTCGATCACAAAGATCAGGGGCAATTTCTTGAAGGTAACTGGTCACCTGAAGATCATATAAAAAGGTCGAAATCACCTAAATGAGAAGTATAAGTTTGTATGTTGAACCTTAAATTAATCCATGAAGCTAGTTTTTCGATTACGGAAAACAATTAACCATCAAGTTGTACTATTTGACTACAAAACAACTGGATCAGCATGCTAACCTAGCACCATATATTTAAATAAAGTTTTGAACCATGCAATATGTAATATGTAAGTTTGACATGCTTTGCTACTAGAAAATGGTAAACTGCTATGTGACAGCCTGCAATGGTACAGTTGGGTTCACAAACCAATTCTCGCAGTGAGTTACACTTTTTGATTAAAATCATTAATGGGGAAAAATGGGCAATATTGTTCACATTAAAAACAGACATCCTCCAGTCCTGATATTGCAACTTGGCCCTCTGTAATTAGTTAATGCCTTACCTCATGGAATGTTCTTGGAGAATCGACCACCATTTTCTTAACCTGAAGTATATCATGATAAAATCATCAGGAGAAACAGAATGTAAACTGGGTTTTCTTTTTATAGATAGATATCATTAAGTTAAACACTTAAAACCAATAATGACTCTAAACTAGTAACAGAACAAACATTTTCATTGAAATAATCCTGGACCACTAGAGAGTTTGACCCATTGCCCTGTGCAAAATTACAGGAACAGCTCCATCCACCCCTTCATCAGCAGCAAGAGCAGCAGACTTTGCATGTTCCGTTATATTTTTCCAGGTTGAAAGCAACCCTTCCAAGTCTTTCTGAAGTTCCTCAAAAGATTGACAAGCGGCAACAGTTCTTACAGTGAGGCCAAAACCCTCAGGCTGCAATGTCTTTGCTATAACCTTCAACCTTGTGCGCTCAACACCAGAAATCTTTTTGGAGACTCCAACTTTATCGCAGCATGCAAGCAAAACCTGCAATTCAGAGTCGAATTCAGAAGAAACACAGTATAGATCATTTACATAAGATAGCAATGATATACAATCAAACTTCATGTAAGATGCAATCATAGCACATACCCAGAATCTACTTCTTAGTTTAGGATAAGCAGTCAGAGTGGGACCCTTTGTACCAAGGTCCTCTTTGACAACTTGGACAATTATTTTGGTTCCCTTCGAACTTGGCTCCATTTGTTTTCTCCAGAAGCCTTGTGGGTAGCTCTCTTTGTATCTTTTGTTTGCAACATAAGAGGGTTGACAGACCCATTCATACCAACAGCAACAGGACTATTATTTGCTTCTCCTTCTACTTGAACATCACTTCCCTCTATATCATCCTCAAAGTCAGCTTCTACTTCATCGTCAACCATGCTCCCTTTCCATTTTCCTTAAGAACTTCAGAAATATAAAACTCATCCTCTCCGTCATGCTCATCACAGTCATTGTGCACAGATTTTAAATAACCATCCTCTCCTTCATGAGACATATGATCATTTTTTTCCTCAAGATCAATCTCATGTTTCTTGTCCTTTGACGAAATGGAGGGAATATAAATGGCTTCTTATTTTGTTTAATATCCATAAAAGCAAATCTAGAATTCCCAATATTAACAAAAGCCCCACCCATATGAGGAACAAGCTTTGTGACCACCCCGACATATACATTATCACATTGCACGTTACTCTTGACTGGTTGCAACAATAATTCAACCAATTTTTCATCCTCCAGTACTGCAATTCTTTGCATCGTACATATTGATGAGTTAATAAGAATAATGGTTGAAATTGATTCTTTCGACATTATATTACTACTTTCTTCAAGTAACAACTTTTCTCTATCTACCAGCTTCACCTTCTCTTCTACAGTTTCACCAGTTTCAGATTTGTTTGATTCTATTTTATCCTTAGAGGGAATGGAAGGGTGTAGCCAGGGTTCCTCAACAGGCTGGTAATTCTCAGAAAGAATATTAGTAGACTGGAAATCCTTGTCATTTGCAATCACCAAGTCATCATCATTGACGTAAAGTAATTGATCTTCCAAACCAAGTGTCTCAAAATTTAGGATGTCATTTTCAAGGAGACTCTCAATCCTTCCATCATCTGTCAAACCACTGGAAGCATTTGAGTGTTCAGAAACATATTAGGAAAACAAATATTTCAATAATAGTGTAAAAACACTAAGTTATACCTTTGCTCAGGAAAGAAATAGAGGGCTGCTCAAGAAGATATGTTTCCTCTGTGAGAGGGGCTCCGTGAATGAGTAGAAGACATTTCGGAATCGATACTGATCCATGAATCCCTGACCACTATTTTATTGTCTTCAATGACTTTTAGAGGTACTGACAGAGAAAAGTCTGGTCCAGGCCTCCAAATAATGTCATTTGAGGACTTCACTTTACCCTTAATGAAATAGTTATATTTAAAGTTCAAGCCAAAAGCAATCTGCAACCACAAATTAGAACCGAGTCAATTAATAAAAATGTGCATTTTGATCTTCATATAGTACTACATGTTAATCAAGAATTAATTTGACTCCTTAAATATTTTGATATGATTACCGAAGAATAAGCTAGGCAGTTCACAGATTGATTTGTGTCAATCAGGAATTAATTTGTCTCCTTAAATATTTTGATTTGATTTCCTAGGAATAAGTTAGACAAATCATAGATTGATTTCTTTTCTTAATTTCAGATTATAGGATATTTTGTAATTTCAAGTAATAATTATCGTAAATATGCCTAGCATTATTTATAGTGGGAATAACAATAGTGAAAGGCATCAACATGGTATCAACCTATGCACAATCCACCTTTTCTCTCTTTCTTACTTGAGGCTTTCCTTTCGTAGTTATTGTTCCTGGTTTCGTGGCTTCCATGGCCTCTCCCATGTTCTTGTTCGCTATCCCAGTTTGTGGTCCTTGTTCATGGTTCCCGTTTGTCATTTTGTTTGTGTTTCCGTGCCCTATTGTTTCTTGCAGTTCTATTCATGGTTTTGGGCTTCTTGCTTTGAACTCCAACTGCAGTGTTGCTCATTCTTTTGACGATCACCATAGCTTGGGAATTTCAATTCATGATGTATGTCAAAGGGAAAGGATTATGAGGTCACTTGGATGGGATAACACTGCCAATCAAGGAGGAAGTTGCCTTCGCTACATGAGAGGTAAAAGATGCTCAAATGATTTCTTGGATCCTTAGCACTATTGATCCCCAAATGATCAATAATTTGTGCTCTTTAACAACTATAAAACAAATATGAGATTACTTGAAGTGCATTTACAACCAAGGCAATTTGTCTATTCAAGAGTATTATTATTCTGGTTTTTTGAATTTATGGAATAACATTCTCCCATTTTATAAGTTGTTGTTCCCCAAACTTCACTCTCGATTGTTTGAGAAGTCTACAACACTAGTAAGCGCGATCAGCTCCTCGTAAAACTTCATTTTGAGTTTGAGGCTGTCTAAAGTGTTTTGCTGATAGGAGTATTGTTCCATTTTTTGATACATGTATTGGTCAACTTCTTAAGGAAGAACAACATTGACTTACCCAAGGATCCATGACTCATGATGTTTCTCTTTCTGAACCTTATCCAGTTGCATATGTTGCCCATAATAAAAGTAAAGGTCGTGCTATGCAATAAGTCCAATGCTTTTCTTGCAAACAATTTGGTCATATCGCTTGTAATGGTCATAAGTTTTGCAATTATTACAAGAAACAGGATCATATCATAGTTGACTGTCCCACATGTCCTCCACGATCAACACAACATCCTATACAAGCATTCCATGCCACAACCAATGCACCCACTTGTCCTCCTACCTAATGTCCATCTCATAGTGGTGCTCTCCAACCTAAAATGATTCAATAAATGGTACTTTCTGCTCTCTCAACCTCAGGTATTCAAGGTAAGTCCTCTAGTGTTTCTTACCCATGGTTTCTTGATTTTGGTGCATCCATTCACATGACGGGTGCTTTTGAAAATTTGCATTATGTACATTCTTATAATGATATTAAGAAAATACAAATGGTTGTTATCATTGATATTGGTGACCTAAACCCTAATTTTCAGAATGTGCTTGTCTCACCTGGACTTGCTTCCAATTTATTATTAGTTGGTCAATTAGTGGACAATAACTATGCTGTTAAATTTTCTCGGTCTAGTTGTCTTGTGTAGGAGCAAGTATTAGGGAAGATGATCGCAAAGGGGCCTAAAGTGGGACAATTATTTATGCTCCAATTTATTTCTAATCATGTGTCTTTTGCTTGTAATAATGATCTGAATCTCTAAGGTTTAGCATAAAAATTTGGGTCATTCAAATTCTATTGTTTTGTCTTTACTTATTTAAAATTGGTTTGTTGGGAAATAAAAATGTTCTTCCTGATACACCTCTTTCTTGTTTTGTTTGCAAATTGGCTAAAAGTAAAGTGCTTCCTTTTCCAACTAGTGTTCATCGTGCTTTGGCTTGCTTTGAAATAATTCATAGTGATGTTTGGGGTATGAGTCATGTTGCTTCTCAAGCTTGTTATAAATATTTTGTCACACTTATTGATGATTATAGTTGTTTTATTTGGATATATTTTCTTCGCTATAAGTTTTAAGTGTTGCCCATGTTGAAGAAATTCATGACATATGTTAAGACTCAATTCCAAACCAAAATTCAAAATTTTCATTATGAGTCTGGCGGTGAATACATGTCTCATGAGTTTCAAGAATACCTTCAACAAAATGGTATTGTATCTCAACATTCTTGTCCTAATACTCCTCAGCAAAATAGCATTGTTGAACGCAAAAATCGTCACTTGCTTGATGTAACCCACCAAGTAACATGCACAATGCTTCTTCAAGTTTCTATTCCATCCAAATTTTGGGCGAAAGCTTTATCCACTATTGTGTTTTCCATCCAAATTTTGGGCGAAAGCTTTATCCACTATTGTGTTTTTAATTAATCACCTTCCTTCTACAGTTATTGATTTTGGGCGAAAGCTTTATCCACTATTGTGTTTCCAAGAATGTGACATTTTTTGATAATCAATTTATGTTTCCTTGTCTTTCTCCTACTTTAAATGATGTTGCTATTCTTCCCATTTTTTCTGTAGAACGTTTCCAACCTGACTTTACATATAGAACAACGTCATCAACAAGTTTCCACTTCCCCTTTTGACTCTGATCCACCACCTGTGTTTGTACCATTTGAACCACGATGATCTGATAAAATATCTCAAGCTCCTAATACGTATTCAGCAAATTGGTATGCTTCTTCTCATACTTCTCTAACAGCTTCTCTTTCTGGCACATCTATTCCTACTTGTTACTCACAAGCTATTAAAGATATTATACATTGTTTAAAGGCAATGAATGATGAACTTCAAGCTCTACAAGAGAACTTCACATGGGATATTGTTCCTTGCCCTCCTGATACAAACCCATAGGTTGCAAATGTGTGTATTCTGTGAAACTAAACTTTGATGGTTCTCTCGACTGTTACAATGCAAGACTACTTTTGCCTTAGGAAACAAATAGGAATATGGGATTGATTATGATGAGACATTTGGACACATTGCCAAAATGACAACTATTAAAACTGTCCTTTCTATAGCCACCTCTAAGGGTTGGCCCTTCATCAAATAAATGTGAAGAATGTGTTTCTTCATGGTGAGTTGACTAAAGATATTTACATGCTTCCCCCTTAGGGCCTCTTCTATTCATCAACAGGCTTGTGCAAGCTCAACCATTCTTTATATGGTCTAAAGCAGGCTCCTCAAGCATGGTATGACAGGTTTTGTTCCTCTCCTTGGGTTCTCCTTACACAGAGTAAATATGATTCCTCTTTTTTCATTCACCGCACACCTACAAGCATTGTTCTTCTACTTCTTAT